AGGGCTGGAAGGGCCCTTAGAACAGGGAATGTCAGGGCTGGGAGGGCCTTAGAACAGGGCATGTCAGGGCTGGAAGGGGCCTAGAACATAGTGTTAGCACTGGGAGGGCACTCAGAGCATAGAAGGTCAGCACTGAAAAGCACCTTAATGCTTATCCTGCCACTTTCTACATGAAGAAACTGAGGCTCGGAGGGGCAAAGACTCGCCGAGCTCCCAGACAGTCAGTGCAGTCTGATTCCGCTCTTCTGCCCACTGCCCGTGCCTGCTTCCTGCTCCCACCCCAGGTTGGCAGCAGAGCCCCGGGCAGGTGCCCACCCTGCAGGGAGCCCCTTGCGGCCGGCTGGGATTGGCATGCAGAGAGAAGACATGCAGTGTGAAGGGGTCCATACCCACCTAGGAGGGGAGGTGAGAGAGGACAGAGGGTTAGCCCTGGCAGACCATGGCCTGCTACGCTAGAGAGAGCAGGACAGCAGCGGCTGGAACAAGAGGAGAAGAGAGAGGTCAGTGCTGAGTTAGTAGGGAGGGCCCCAGGCGCCGCCCCCCACCCCACCCCCACCCCCCGGGCCTCCTCCATGTCATGGGAATGCCACGTTGCCCTGACAGACCGCAAGCTGCAGGAGGGCAGATGGCTGGGCCTTATCTTTTTGTCTCTCCCAGAACCGAGCACGGAGCTCAGTGCTGTGCTGAGGCTCAATCTGTGTTTGCGAATGGAGGACAGAGGTAGAGATCATCAGAGCCAAGAGGGCCCGTGGGAGTCTCCTAGGCCCACCTCTCATTTTACAGGGGAGGAAACTGAGGCCGGAAGAGGGTGAGTGACCTGCTGAAGGCAACTCAGTCAGTTTGTTAGAGTTTCCACTCAAGGGCCCGGCAGCCCAGGAAAGGACTCAGGGTATGCTTGTCAAAGCCCTTGGGGCTGGCAGGGCAGACGTGACTATTCCCATTTGACAGAGGAGATAAAGGGAGGCCAAGAGAGAAGTGATTTCATGTGGAAATAAAGGCAGGCTGAGAACCCAGGTCTCTTGCCTTCCTGACCCCCAGGCCAAGGCTCTTCCACTAGACCCACGCCATCTTCTCCATACGCTATCATTGGCAGCTACATGAACCCACTGGAGAGGCCATCAGAGGTTGGCCTCCTGCCTCAGCCTGAGGGCAGCAGGAGCTTTTGAAACTGCCAGGCTGTGACAAGCCCTCTCTGACCCCTCAAAGCCAGATCCCGCCAGTCCACCCGCCCACTTATATACTGCCCACTCACAGCAAGTAAGCGGCAGGAACCCAGCCCAGTCTGCTTTCATGAAGAAAGAAGAATCCTAGGTGAATGAATTCTCTTCCTCAAGGCAGTTTAAACACCGTCCCTGCAATCTTGTTCAGACCATCCATTGCTTGGCAAGGCCTTTATTCCCATACGACACAGGGGTAGACTTTGGAGGATTCTCACATCCCTCCCCTCCCCTCTATTGTATAACCACTACCCTAGCACGAAGGTGTAGACAGAATGAATGGAGGTGATGATCAGAGGGGAGGCACCAGGCATTGAGGGGGATGGAGAACGGCTTCCTGTAGAAGGAGGGACTTCTTAATTGTCCAGTGAAATGAATTTTCTCCCTGACTGGAAGGGAGCTCAGGGACGCTCCCCTGGCACTGGTAATATGTAGAGTATGTGCAGTCAGAAGCCAGCCCTTGGTTGTTTGTGATGGAGAAAGGGATTAATTGGGGATGAGCCCAACTGGAAGGGTATGAGACAGTTCATGGGAATGAGTTGGAGTTTGCCTCTGCTGGGAATCCACAGGCAATGTGAGGATTTCTGGAGGGTCTGAGCAATGGGAAGAGAATGGGTACTGGGGCTAGAGAGGGTCTGGCATGCCCTACTGGTGCTTCGAGCCTAGACACTGAGTGAGTAGTGATCCCTACAGAGAAAGCTCTGACAGCTCAGTTCTGGCAGAAAGGGCCATAGGAATGGAATAGCTCAGAGCCCCCACTCACCTCTACACAGGAAGAGAGAGAGCCCAGGGAGAAGACGAAAGGCCCAGAACGTTGACATGTGTAACTGATGGCCGATGGTAGAGCACTGATGACCACGTGCATGTAAGTGGGTCTGTGTCTGAATAAATGAATTTGTCAGGTCTGAACCAACCTCATTTTCTTGTACGCAACAGGGAAGTAAATGTTCAATTTCCCTTGGGCCTATTGCCAATGCATTATCATCAGTATCTCCAGAGGCCCCAAGAGCACTCTCTGAAGAATGACCCCGTGCTCAGGGAATGACTGGTTTCCAGGTTGGAAAAGTAATGTCCAGGACAATGACTACCCTAGAGCCTTTGGGCTCCAGTCGCCCCAGTGGAGGACCTCCTAGCTGCCCACTCCTCCAACTATCTGTTGTTGTTCAGTCAATCTGCAGTCGTGTCCGATTCTCCACGGCTCCATTTGGGGTTTTCTTGGCAAAGAGACTAGAGTGGTTTGCCATTTACAGATGAGGAAACTGAGGCAAACAGGGTGAAGTGACACAGCTAGGAAGCGTCAGAGGCTGGATTTGAACTCAGTTCTTCCTGACTCCAAGCTCTAATTACTTACAAGTTGGTAAAAGGCATTCGGAACATCCATCCTCATCCTTCTCGACTTCTCTGCAGCCTTTGACAATGTCACCTGCATGTCTTTGATCTTCTCTCCTCAAGTTTGAGGGACACCACTGCCCCTGGTTCTCTGGCTCCTCAGTCTCCTTTGCTGGTTCTTCATCCGGGTCACGCTCACCCAACAGTAGATGTCCTGGGCCCTCTTCTCCCTCTCCACTATTGAGCCTCGTGATCTCATCAGCTCCTGTGAATTCCATCACCTCTACTGGAGTATCAAAGCTACTTATCTATCCCTAGCCTCTGTTGACTTCCAGTTTTGAATTTCCAGCTACTATTAGACCTTTCCAACTGGATGTCCAGTGGCCATCTTAAACTCAACAAATCTAAAACTGAACTCATCATTCCCCAGTCGACCTCTCCCCCCTTCCCCATTCCTGTAGAGGGCACCACCCTCCTCCCAGTCCCTCAGGCTCCCAGTCTAGGGGTCAGACTGACCTCCTCACCATCTCTCACCCCCCACATCCAATATGGTGCCAAGGCCTGTCGATTTCACCTTTGCACCATCTCCCAAATAGGGCCTCCTCTCCTCGGACCCTCATCACCTCACACTAAGACTATGGCATTAGCTGCTGGGGAAGGGGGTCTGCCCGCCTTGAGTCTCTCCCTACCCCAGTGTATCCTCCATTGAGCCACTGAAGAGATTTTCCTAAAGCTCAGGTCTGATCATATCATCCCCCTACTCAATAAACTCCAGTGCCTTCCCATTGCCTCCAGGACCAACTACGAAATTCTTTTTGACTTTTACAGGCCTTTATCACCCTGGCTTTTCCCACTTTTCTTACACCTAATTCTCCGCCACACAGTCTGTGATCCAGTAACTGGACCTGCTCCCCTGGACCCCGAAAATGCAGATGGGGTCGGCCAGCCAGTGTCTGAGGCTGGATTTGATCTCAGGGAAATGAGTCTTCCCACCTCAGCACTGTGGAGCTCCCTAGCGGCCCTCTTTTGGGGTAGGTAGCTACATCCATTTTTGCTTCTCCTCTGTCGCTGTATTGGTATGATAGCAGTTGGGTCTCCCGTTTCCTTTTATAGCTCAGCTTGGCTGGTCAGATGATGGGATGGCCTTCCCCACGCCTCTGCCTGCGCTCATGCTGCTCCACGTCCAGCAGTCTCTGCCCCTGCTCCAAAGGTCCACGCCCATCCCGTGTCATCCTGTAAGACCTGCCACCTCCATTTTCAGGGTCCAAGGGGCCCTCAGAGGCCATCCTTGCTGGGTGCATGAGCCTCTCCTAATATCACAGATATAGAGTGCAGCAGGGCCTTAGAAGCCAACCCTCCCCCTCCTCTTCTATGCTTGAGGCGAAGTGACAGGAGGTGGCAGAGACGGTTTGTACAACACCCCCAGACGCTGGTCCAGCTTCCCGCTGAAGATGTGCAGGGATGGGGAGTTTGTTCACTGCCCCCTCCCCCGCCCCGGGGATGAGCAAGGTTCAACGGCCATGGGGGGATGAACACAAGGCACACTTTGAAGCCTATGTTACATTAGTAACATTTCCCCATCACTTTCTTAAGTCTCGACAAGCAGCAGATCACTCAGTCAGGCCCTGGTGTAAAGCCTCACCTGCAGACTGAAGAGCGGGACTTTGTGAGCCGGTGTGAGCTGCCTCCAGGCCCCCATCGCACCCCCAGGCCGGGTCCTCCCCTCTGGGGCAGCTTTGGTGGGGAGGTTTTCCTTCCACTGAGCCCAAATCTGCCCTTCTCTGGTCTTTGTTCTCAGTCTTTGGGGGCTGAATGGAAGCCTGACCCTCCTCCGCAGAGAGTCTTCACATACTTGAAGACAACCAACACATCCCCGCATCTCCTCCTTCCAGGCTAAGCACCCCAGTCCCCAGAGTCTAGTTTCCTCCCCATCCAAGCTGCCCTCTTCTTGGCTAGGTCCACTTTGCCTGAAATGTGGTGCCTGGAAGTCGGCATAACACTTCAGATAGAGACTGGCTCATCTATCTTTCAACACATCAGATAGAGGTCTTTGTAACGTCTTCAATTTGAGTGTCTGAGGCAGCTGGTAGCACAGCGGATAGAACTCAGGAAGACCTGAGTTCAAATCCAGTCTCAGCCACTTATTAGCTGTGTGATCCTGGGAGGGTCACTTAAAAAAACTGTTTGCCTCAGTTGCCCCAACTGTAAAAAGAACACCTACTTCCCAGGGTTATTGTGGGGATCAAACGAGATAATAATTATAAAATGCGTCTGGCACATAGGAGGTGTGTTCCCTGGGGGGGATCTTGCCTTCTTGGTCCCCCATCCAGGGGGTCTTTAAGAGGAAGTGGATAAACATTTCAGGGCTGAAGTAGAGGAGGTTCCTGCTTTAGGGAGGGACTGGACCACGTGGTCCCCGGGATTCCTTCCACTCCTGATATTCACAGGTTCTAGAATCTGGCTACTTACACCGTTTTCTAGCCCCTGAGATTTTTTCCTCCCGTTTTGCTCCACTTGTCCCAATCCTTGGGCCACAGCTCTGCTTTAGCAGGACAGCTGAGGCCTGGAATGGTGAGTTGAGGTGGAACTGGGCATGGGGGCTCCCTCCTTCACCAACTTACTGAGAGACCCCAGGGTCTCACCCTCTATCCATTGGCTGGCCTCAAACCCCATTGCAGTCCCTCTGCACTGGCCATACTAGGTGGACGGCAGGCTGAGGTTCAGACCAGGGTGATGCCTTCTTTTTTCTCTCTCCCTTCTTTTCTTAGCTGGGATTTCACACTCTCCTCTCCGTGATGTTAACACCCCCACACCTCACATTCTGGTCTCCCTCCAGCCCACTTAATTAACATGCTACTCACCTCCTTCCCTCAAACCTGGGTGGAAAATCTTACGTCAGACACAGAGCCGGCTCTGTTCCCACAGAGGAC